AACGCGTGGACAGATGGAGTTACATCAAAATTCAGATTAAAAAAAATGATGGCTGAAATCACATCAAGGGTGAACATAGAAGCATGCAGATCAATAATCCATGTACAGGGGGGTCTCGCTAACGCGTTTCGTGTAATAACACATTTTCAAAGAGTAGAGGCCACCGGATTAAAAAGTGGAGGCACACAGGTATAGGTTGCATATAAAACTGCTCTAGGACAGAGGCTCATAAAAACTCACTCCAGCCACAGAAACAATATACAAAGACTCCCATAGTAAATACTGCAGAGAACTAGGGTCATCCCATACGGCAATGAATGTGATGCATTTCACTGAATTTCAGCAAGTGATAGTGAGAATTTCTCTTTTCAGCAGTATGGAATATACATCTTCCAGGACATCTTACACAATAAACGGTTTTCTGTTTACTGTTTAAATCACTGAGTATCAGAGAGCTTGTCACCCTGCATCAAGAACATATAAGCAGGATATGGCCCAAGCTTTTCTGACCTTACTGTGAACATATGCATTTCTCTTTCATGTGGAGAGGACCAGCAAATATCTACCACGTGTTGGAGTTTTCTCTGTTCTTTCACCCACATATGCCAAGATGCTAGCTGGCTTGGTGTGTACAATAACATATGGAGCGAGCCCAACCCTGACTTAAGATCATAATACGAGGTCTCTGGAGTTTCAAAAGAACACATCTCTGCAACAGAGTAACAACAGATTGTCAGCTCATGTAATCAGAGATCACAGATTCTGTAGATGTTTAGTATTCTCCTTAAAAGAAACCCTTATAAAGAGTAAAAGAATCCAAGGAGACTCCAAGTGTCAAATGATAAAGAATTTGCATGGCTCTGTAATATGCCATTTGATTTATTTATTAAGGCAGCTGCTGTGTATTAAACAAATGCATGGGCAGATAAAGATGTATACTGCTAATGTTATCATCCTGATCAGCAAAATAATAAGTTTGTTATAAAGCATGGCACCTTTATATCATGTTATAATATAAACAAGACCAAAATAAACCTACTTTAAGGTATATATTTTTGAAAGAGGAACTCTTGCCTAAAGAAAATAAGTATATTGAATATTTATAATATAATAAAAATAATATTTCTTTAAGTTGATCACCAGCTCCAGAAGAGGTATATCAATTATGTAGCCAGCTCGAGGAGACTAAGGGACCTGCTGGAATGACAGATGTGTCCAAGGCAGCAGGTCCCTGATGGTCATCTCAGGGTGACTTCACAATTGAGAATCCTTTTCTGCATAAAATATATATGCTTTCAACAGATTAATGCTACTTAATGTGAAAAAATAAAGACACCTCTTATTTAGGAGAAAATCATTATTAGATAAAATAAGTAGCAGCATTATTATTATTATTATTATACAGTATTTATAAAGTGCCAACAGTTCGCTCAGCGCTGTACATTACCGCTCATTCATAGTAGTGAATTGAGCCTGATATGTCCGTTGGAAATAACCACAAGTGTTATCTGAAATGTTGTTTAAGCAGATACAGATTAAACTTTTAATACGTCTAAAGCACTATTTGAGAAGCTGCCTTTTCCTTCATCCTATTATTTAGTCTTCGGAAGCCCATCTTTTTCAGAATACAAATATTAAAATCTTAAAGCGAACCTGCCATAAAAAGTTAAATAACTTCCCAAGAGCAGGAACATTTATTTGTGGTCTTCTGTATACCTGGGCATGTAAATTTCTTCTAGAGCTTAAAAGGGGAGTTCTGGCATGTCCACCACTGTCCCATAAGGCAATGCCATCTTTTTAATTAAAATGTTACTTTACTGAGCAAACACAGATGGAGAATTAAAACAAACCAGTGAACCGCCTAAACTAGTCACAAAATTCTGAAATTACTAAAGATAAACTCAATTTACCTCTATACAATCTGTTGGAATTAGGTTTAAAAGCCATTTTTTAAAATCTCTAGCCTCTTGCCACTTGATTCTTTTCAGCCCCTTCATCTCAGTGAAGCTTGTAAATATGCTGGAATCATGCGGACTCCAAGTGTCCACAAAACAAAAAAAAATGTTAACTGTTTGAAGAAAGCAGACCTTGAATATTTATTATTATACAGGATTTATATAGCGCCAACAGTTTGCTCAGCGTTTTACATTATATTTATAATAGGCTTTCTCAAACCTCTTACCCTAGAGGAACCCTTGAAATAATTTTCAGGTCTCAGGGAAGCCCAGCAAAAAATCAGTTAATCTGGGATCAGTAGGAAGAATGCCACTTATTTGGTGGTCAGTAGAAATGCATATTGGTGTCATACCACTGGTTTTGCCATGTGGCATTGTGCCTGGAACCATGGAGGAACCACGGAGGAACCACAAGATGGGAGGTCAATCAGCCACAGCTTAATGAACCCCTAACCACCTCTGGAGGAATCTTAGAGTTCCACGGGACCCTGGTTGAGAATCCCTGATCAATAAAGTGCCCTTTTTAGTGAAGTGCGTATGCTTGTTTATTCAGATCTGTGTTTTTTTCATCGTCGGCTTTTGATCTTTGCAACTTTTAAAAGCATCCTGAAGCTTGTATGAAGGTGGTGGATGTATTAACCTTGATGCATTCACTACATTGAATCTGAAAGAGAACTTTTGATCTGCTGTTCTGGGGTTCAGACCATGACCTTGGGTCCTGGAATGTCTCCTTCTCTGAATATACTTACTCGTGTGAGGCATACTGCAGTCATCCGGTTAGTATAAGTGTATCAGTTTAAATATAGGGAAAATCTACAGTCTGAGTTTAAGGATTAAACTTTAAATTCAACAGCTGCCAAACATTTATTTCGGAGCCCTGTAGACTTAAATACAAAGCACTTGTACACATTTCCTCTTATACAATGATATGACTTGTTTTGACATTTAAATCCACTCATGTGCTGTGTATGTAGATTAAAATATTTTGTCACAATGTCTGTCTAGTGCAGTTTAGGGAATGCCATGGCATGTATTGTATGGCTAGAAGATGCTGTCTTATGTATTGGGATGAGGCGTTTGCCCCCTGGCTTCTGTCTATCTACCGATAGCAAACAAAATATCTATTATGATTTTTTTCTAAGATACAAGTTAAGGGGATTCATAGTTGAATAAGCAAATGTCATGGATGCAAATGATTTTATTACCATGTTTTAATGCCTGCAAAATGCTGTTTCTAGTTATAATTAAGGTGTGCTTCCCTCTGTTAGTACCATTAAATACGTTTACTTTACAGGAGGTGCTGTAATTTTCCTATGCCTTCCTTGTGCTCTCCCACAACCCCAGTCCATCAACAAACACCTCAGAAAAGCCCAGTACTTATGAGAATGGGTGAATATGTGACACTGCCCCTGCCTTCCACAATGTAGCTCTCAGAACTTAAAAGCAATAACACTGTTCAACAAATTTTTATTTTTTGCCAGTTTTGGAAACAAAAGGATCCATTTCTTAATGAATTTCACATTCTGAGTTCAAATATAACAATGAAATTTGTCAATTGGCTCTAGTTTTTCTGTAAACGGAAAGTTTTCTACTATAGGCGTAATGACTACATAATGCACAATAATTATATAGATAGATGTCTTTCCACAAATATAAAGCAAGTGATATTGACTACATAACAAAGCCTAAATGGCATAATATATTGCATAGGATTACCAAGAAAAATTATAGCCATAAGCTAAGTTGAATCATTTTAATACTTAGGATTCTCACTAGTTTTGTCTTCAGTTTGTGTCGGTTTTGCTTCTCTTGGCTTTTCTCTTGTATTCGAGGAAAGGGCTATCTCTTACAACTGCAAGTGACTACACGCTTCAGGTTCTTCCTCACTTGACTCAACCACGAAGGATTCTGGTGCTTTAGGAATTGGTAGCCCCTCTCCATGAGGAACTGGACGTATTGCCGATGGAATATTTGGATAGTGCACAGATAACTTTTTCTTCTTATTTAGCCCTTTTACAATTGGAGGCACCATACAAAAGTAACAATTACTAACATGATCTGTTGGCTCTCTCCAAATCATTGGCACAGCGAAAGGCATAGATGCCTTTTTTCCATTCAACCATTGCTCCAGTGCCGTCCCACAAGAATTGCAGCATATATGTGGTGCCCAGCTCTTGTCCTGGTCTCCTATCTTGCAGCCAAAATACAAGTTGTAGGCTTTCTTAATCATTCTTGTTATCCTCCTTTTTTGTGAGATAAAAGTTATTTCACCGCAGATATAGCAGAAATTATCTGCTTTATTCACACAAGTTTGAGGCATTACTGAGTAGCCTATATAAGCATAAAACGAAATGTAAAGACGCTGTCGAACTACAATCAGCTACAGATACTGCAGCTTTTATGCAGTGAAGTGATGCAATTAAAGGCTAATATTGCATCATCTCAGTATACATGCAATTTTCTATTGGTCACCAGTATCAATTGCGCAATATGCAGCTGAAGTTGCATCATAATTTTGAATGGCTTACGTCATTAGATGGATGAATATATCATGGAAACTAGAGCCAATCAACATTTTTTAGGGTCATTTTCGTTTTCAGCACCCCAAAATTATGTAAGATTAGCTAATTTTATGCCCAAAACTTTTTACCTGTTGAACAGTGTAATTAGGCCAGAGCACTATCATGCGAATGTGTGTGTGTGTGTGGGGGGGGGGGGGGGGGGTCAGGGGCATGCTTAGCCTTAGATACATTTTGATTTATACATAGATATGGGGTGGCAGGGGAACACAAATACAGAATGCCTAAAGCATTTTTCCTAAAGGGAATCTGTTATGTTGTTTATTATGGCCATAGTACAAGTTCACTTAATCCACCTCCCGCGCACCATATAGTCCAATGAGGAGCGCAAGGTGGTTCTCTCATTCTGAGAGGATGTCATATGCCGTCCTCCCATTCTCACCGCGCATGCGTGGCGATCAGCGGTGCGTTGTGTCCCTCGGACACAGCGGATCACCGTTCACGGAAAGAGCTGAAGATGTCGGCTCAGTCATGTGATCAGCTGTGTCCAATCACAGCTGATCACATGTAAACACGGAAATGCCGGTTATCGGCATTTCTCTCCTCTCGAGCTGTCACGCTGACAGCCCGAGAGGAGAGGAGAGCCAGTAATCGGCTTTCCGCGAAGGGGGCATGTACACTAATCATCAGGACACTGATGATCAGTGTGCCCTGAAGATCAGTGTAGACCCAGCAGTGCCACCTGTCAAAGTCCATCAGTGCCAGCTGTCAGTGCCTATCAGTGCCACATCAATGCCACATATCAGTGCATACCAGTGCACATCAATGCCACATATCTGTGCTGCCTTTCAGTGTCATCCATCAGTGCCAGCCAGTGCCACCTATCAATGCCAATCAGTGCCACCTATCAGTGCTGCCAATCAGTGCCACCTATCAGTGCCAGTCAGTGCCGCCTATCAGTGTGCATCAGTGCTACCTATCAGTGCCAGTCAGTGCTACCTAACAGTGCCAGTCAGTGCCGCCTAACAGTGCCATGTATCAGTGCTGCCTTTCAGTGCCCATCAGTGATGCCTTTCAATGCCCATCAGTGCCACCTACCAGTGCCTCCTCATCAGTGCCCATCAGTGCCACCTATCAGTGCAGCCTATCAGTGCCCATCACTGCAGCCTCATTAGCGCACATCTACTTATCTGTATCTTCCTCCCCTGTATATTTCTCAGCTCTAGGATTTTATGGGGATAAGGAGTTGCAGTTTAAGATTTCACACTGACATCTGCTGGTCAAATATGGCTTGAAGATGCAAAGCATTCATTGATTCAGGTTATCCAATCAAAACATTTTATCCAACCAGTCATAATTTAGTACCCCAGGAAATGTGCAGGGTACAGTGGCTATGGGCAGCACAGTGGCTAAATGGTTAGCACTTCCGCCTGGCAGCACTGGGGTCGCTGGTTCGAATCCCAGCCACGGCACCTCCTGCCTGGAGTTTGCATGTTCTCCCTGTGCCTGCGTGGGTTTCCTTCCGGTACTCTGGTTTCCTCCCAAAGACATGCTGGTAGGTTGATTGGATCCTGTCTAAATTGGCCCTTGTATATGAATGTGAGTTAGGGACCTTAGATTGTACGCCCCTTGAGGGTTAGGGACTGATGTGAATGTACAATATATATGTAAAGCGCTGCATAAATTGACGGTGCAATATAAGTACCTGAAATAAATAAATAAAATAATTAAATGCAAAGGAAAAGAACATGGGTTCTGCATATATGGAGGATGCAGGAAGGAGGCAAGCATCCATATTGCTACAGAGAATGTAAACATAGTTGGGTGGAAGAGGGGGTAGGCTAAAGGGCCAGTCCTGGGCAAACTGCAGCCCCAGGGCCACAAACAGCCCTTTCACTATCCCTATCTGGTCCTTGATGCCTCCATTGCTAGCATGCTTCTCTGAGCCTTACTCGCCGAAGAAGCTGACAGGCCCAGAGAGGCATACTGACAGAGCCTGGGAAGCTGATAGATACAGTGAGGAGGCTCGGGAAAGCGATGCCTAGAAGACGTCCCAACCCTCTGCTAACCTGCCAAGTTCTTTGTGTTAGTGCCGGTTCACGGCAAACTTCAGGAGCCGTGCACTTGTTCTTCACTGCAGGTCAGGATCTACAGAAATCTCTCTGTACCGATCTCAGTCTCTCTCCTTGCAGTTACAGTGTTTTTTACAGGGCAATTGGCAGGCAGTGAGGAGGTGTTATATTGCCTCCTCACTGCCACATTTAACCCTATAATGCTGTATTATTGCACTGTAATCACATACATTGCATGCAGTTGCAGCGTGGTCCTATTGAACACAATGGGTGAGTTTGACAAGCTGTGCTACTGGTGAAACTCTACAGCCCAAGTTAAAAATGCCACTTCTGTAGCATGTGAGCAGCAACATTATTCTGTTATTTTACATTTCAGGTGGGCTGAGGTAAAACCACGGCTCGGCCAATCATTTTACCAGCCCCTGACCACCCATCTGAGAGAGACCTATTTCTTGAGCAGTTGTACCTATTATTCCTAGCTCTGGGTATTCTTTTTGTGACAGACCACCTGTCATCTCGATTGGGCGATTCATTCAGACAAATGTTTCCTCGCCACTGGACCACTTGGCACTATAGCTGGGCATCGCACCCAAGACTAGGTGACACTAGCTTAGGTGCAATGCCCAGTTATAATACCTTGATAGTGTCCTAGTGGCAAGGAAGCAGTTCTCTGATGGAATCACCCAATCTGGGTGACAGGCGGTCCATTGTATTTGGTGGCAGAAGTGGCATTTGCTTCCTCCCTTCAGAGAAATCCAACTATCACTGGGATTATGGATGAAGGAGGACAGGAAACGGCAGCTGAATTTCAGTGGAGACTGCAGTAAACTCTGGCCCAGTTTCTGCAGAAGGACTGGACTGGAAGGATGTGATCAGAAGAGAACTGTGCAACAAGGCCCTCGAGAAGGTTCAGGTTCTCCAAGGAGAATTATTTCAAACCCCATTTTGTGATCAGCTTGCATTGCAGATACCATTCGTAGGAGAGCTTCCTCTGGAGGAATGGCTGATGGAGCTGGAGAGGCTGGTCCAGACGGAAATGGTGCTGGACGATGGTGCTACTGGGTATGCTACCCAAGTGTGTCCATGGCTGGAGAAGAGCGATCCCATAGAAGGCTAGCCCCTAGTCCCCTCCAAAAGCCCCTGTACCGGTTGGGTCTGTCACAGTTTTCTATAGGTTTACATTATTATTATTATACAGTATTTATATAGCACCAAAAGGTTTGCTCAGCGCTGTACAATAGCGGGGGGGGGACAGAACATGAGACAAAACAGTACAATACAATACACGAGGGGTTTGAGGGCCCTGCTCTTTCGAGCTTACAATCTAGGAGGTACTTACAAACCTTCCAGGTCAAAAATTAATACGTAGTAGAATTAAGTTTGACCCACCACAACAGTCCTAGTTTCTCATGTGGCCCCTTGGTAAAATTAATTGCCCACCCCTGTTCTACACAAATGATACAAAATTTTGTTTTGGATTGGTTCTTGTCAGTTCACAGATCTGTCAACTTGCTGTTGCACTGGCACCCAATCCAGATAATATCCCGATCACTCCACGTTTTCTATATCCAGTATACCCATCTCTATATAAAACTCTGAGCAGGGAGGTGTTGTGAGCCCCCTCAAAGGCACAGGCCACCAACTATTTGCATCATGTTTAATGAATCCTTCTATTTATTCAATTATTGTGTTGCCCCCTCCCATTTTTCATAAACTCTATATGCTTGCTAAGGCTATTACAGGATTCAATTCCCATTTAAGGAGAACCAAAACAGAGTACACAGCAGAATTGAGATACCTTTTAAAATTAAAAATATACGGGAAGCAAAAAAAAAATGGATCCAGAAATTACTTATCCTTAAATATTAGTTTCAGGTGGCCTTACTTGACTGGTTAACTACTCTGTCATATTATGCATTAAGTAAAAATAACATCTAATAAAACCAGTTTACTTTTGGGACTCTGATCGCTAAAATGTATATTCATTCCACATTCTTAAATCATCAAAGAAAGTATTCTGGCACACGCACAAATTAGAAAGCAATGTATTTGTTTACCACAGACATGCAAGACCGTATGGACCTGGATTGCAGCCTGAATGCCTGAACAGCTTGCAGAGTTTTTCACATAGTTCTAAATGGCATGTTTCACATTGGGGAGAGTGCGCACTCTGTCAATGACACTTTCATCTGTAAGACCTTTAGCTGCTCTGTGCACTGCCAGAGTTCAGTTATAGATCACAATCGCCCAATGGCTTCATATTTCACTGGCTGCCTTCATCTAAAGCAGCATGCTGCCTGCCATGTGCAGTGTGTTCATCACAGATTACAGCTCTCAGCTCACATAATAAATGTCTTTGACAGGCATCACCCAAACTGTGCATGCTGGATGGTTAACCGTTTGCAGGTTGTGCAGTCAGTACCAGAAATGCAGGCATATTGGTTTGTTATAAATCTGGAGTATATGAATGGATGAAGACTCAAGCTATAATCACATGAGCATTTTTTAAAACCCCTTTTTATTGAACAATGTACAGTAAATAACATATTCCAGCATTTGTTTGAATATATCAGGATACAATGAATACTAAATGTAGGGAATGGTTAACTAAATTATTAAATAAGATGACGATTAGCTTTAACCTTGCATGGAGTGCCAGGCCCTTTTATACATTATACAGATAGGGAGGTAGGAATTTATGGGAAAAAATATGTAGTTTATAAGATTGGTCAAGTACCAAGGGGGTAGCCCTAAAGAAAGTAATTATTTTCTGACTGGTTGGTGTAGGCAAGATACAATATGTTTTAATGAGATTCACACATTTCAGCCTTTTCACTACCAGCCTATGATATTTCATTTTGTTAATGTACTTTCAAGGCTGGACAATCTGTGGTGGAAAGAAGAGTGGTACAAGACAGTTGGTCTATGGAAGCAGGAATCCAGCCATGTGGATATATCCCATACGATGACAAGCTGCTCACTGAAACAATCTAGGTATTATTAAATTGTATGGATTATGTAACCTTTAACAAAAAGGTGTGAACAGAAGTCATGGTCAGTTGCAGTGACCAGATTTGACTTGTTCCTCCCACAACACAAAAACATGGAACAGAGTTTATATTTTCTCCCAATGTTTGTATGAGATTCCTTTTACAACCCAAATATAAGGTAGTTTTGGGTTGAATGACTGTAGCAGGCACTTTAGATGTCAAGCTTTCAGAGGGAAAAGGGCTTTGGAAATGGTTATGTACTCAGTAAGCTGCTGCTAAACCTTATGGAAATACACAAACAAAATCAAACATTTGGCATTTTCCTTTACTATGACCAAGAGTGGATGATCTGTTGGTTTCTACTGCCTTTTAAAATAAATGAGATCTGGGCATTACTTTTTGTTTTAAATACAGCACCAGAAGGACCCTTTGGGTGTCACTTGAAACCAGTGACCCTAATGTATTCATTCTTTGTATAGAACATCAGCCAAGACAATCTCACCTTCCTTTCTCATGTGAATTATTGGGTCTTGTAAACAAACTGAAACCCAACCATGCTTCCTTCTGCCATCACCACATGTCGTATGACATCACACTCATTTCTCAAATGCATATTGTGTAAAATAATCAGTGCTGCTACTTTATCATATAAAATATACTGTACAGTAAGCATAAATATTGTTTGTAGAAATTGTAACAGTCACAAAGTAAAAGACTTTTATCACTTGCCCCTACAAGACCTCTACTTCTAAACTTCACTTCTCTTGCCATCACTATATTGAATTATTCGTGTAGGTTACTTTTTGTAAATCCTTCTTTCTAGGTATATATTAAAATCAGGGGTGGA